TAGGTGGTAGATCACCCTGACTTTTCCACACACCATAAGCACATTGATTCATTACGTATGGATTTTTAGTAGAAACAACTGAAATGCAAAGATTTTATTAAGTTTAAAAGACTGACGTTTGGTCAGAAGACCCCATTATAATTCAAAAAAGAATTTTCGCTTTTTTTTCTTTAATGATAATGATGATGGTAATGATAATGATTATGTCTCCTCGTTTTTACCTCTAATTTCCGTAATCAGTTGACTTGGCGAAACGAAGAGATACGTGCATGAACGGTTTGAGGAGCACGATAGGGACATACGGAGTTCACGAACTCAAACTTTATCCGTTTGAGTGAATACACCATTAATACTGGGCATCAGGCGAGGCCCTCACTTGACCCCCGTATGGTAAAAAAGGCTATTAATACAAGATTTTACCCTAATAAGATCGCTATGAAAAGTGGTGAATTAAACTGACATCCAAAGACGTGGATACCTTCGAGACTGAGACAACAAAGCAGCCGATCATAGGAATAGTTTCTTTCATTATAAGCTTAGTGGACGATAGCCTTAATGATCTAATATAAGCTAATAGACGCCCAGGGTGTTCATTGAAATTTAGGGGTCCAGGAGGTGCCGCTTAATTGATAAGAGGCGTTTAAGGGCCTGTTAACGTGGAGATGGGGGACCCCAGGTAGGTGGAGTAAGCCGCCTGTCCATATAATCTCTCATTTTTACATGATAGGTGGGGTGACCCGCCGCGGGTTACCTCACGTACCTGGTGTTCCCCCCCCAAAAAAAAAAAAAATAAATAAATAAATATGTAAACAGGCCCTAAAAGAGAAAGGCGCTTATTCTCACAACTGTGACAAGCTCAATAAAGCTTATGCTTTCAGAGAATAGCAAATAACAGCATATCCAGTCTGTCTATTGATTCGTCTAGATCGTCTAGAGTCAACGATCTCAACTTCGATGTCAGAAACCTCGCTCGCAGCTCATGGTCATTTTGTTGACGCCATTGTTAGCCTATCCTTACTTTAAACTTGACATTGAACAAGATGCAATGCACAAAGCGCTGTCAATCAAGCAAGAAACTGAATAACTTAAATGATTTTGTTCCGTTAGCTTTTTTACTATTCCCTAGTATTTTTTTAGTAATAGTCACGGAGGCGTCTATTCTGGAAACGGCTTTTATTAGAGAGGGGTGACGAATAAAAACTTTACGTTGTGCATCTTAGAGGAGGCGTTTATGGCAAGAGGCGGTGTCCTAGAGGAGGCGTCAATTACTTCATTTACGGTACTAAGGATGGAATCCCACCAGCCATGGGAAGAGGAGTAGGGGGAGGGGGGTGGGGGCTCGGGGGAGAGGTTTGAACCTCTTGCGACCAGTTGTTACACCGATATTTTCGCTCAGTAATTGATGAAGAGCAGAACTAACTGAAGTGGTCGAAACAAGGCAATCAATGACAAAGTAAAATAACAAGATTTTATGGTAAAGTAGCGGTGACCTGAAAGCAACTATTTGCATAGATATATTTAACTCTTTACCTCCCCCGTCATTGTATGAGGCTTCACTGATTTTTTCTTTATGGGCCGATGTAACTAGTGCAGCGAAAAGTAATAATCCAAGTCCATTTGTTTGATAGTTCATCGCACCTAAAGGGAATTGAAAAAAAACAACAACAACAAACAAACAAATAAAAAAAAAATAAACAGAGAAAAATTCAAATTTTGTTGAGGGTTTAAATACGCCATAAAAATAATTTCTTTTAGAATAAGCCTCTTTTACATGTCAGGTACGGTTTGCACATTACGAGAACTTAAACAAAAGTAGCAGCTATTTTTGTTTTGTTAGAAACGTTGACATATAAAAAAATAAAATACCTTTCGACGACGACAATGGATCTTTGTGTTGACAAGCTGTCTAAACGTGGCGCGAGTAAAAAAATCACGGAACAACAATGACTTCACCGTAACACCACCAGAGCTTCGTGCTGTGAAAGCTGTCATGTGTACGATGTGGGATCCTACAGGGGCGGATCCAGGAATTTTTGATTGGGGAGGGGTCTAAACTTTGGTTCTGAAAGGCTTGTTGAACTTTTTTGTGGCAAATTATTTCTCACAGAGACGACTACGTGTTTCTTAGTGTGAAAGCCGGTCGCCGTTGGCGCGGGAAATATTAGGGAGTTTCTGAACTTTGATGCAGACCTTTAGAATTCAACTCCAAAAAAATTTGCCAACATTTGACGAGTTAAACGAGATGGAATAAGCGCGATAAAGTTTGAGGCAGCGCAAATTCAGTTTTTAAGTGACGTTTTTGTAGCTGTCGTCGTCGTCGTTGCGCAAACTCCCTAACGCTTCGCGAGCAGAGGCGATCATAGGAGGGTACCCAAAAACATAGAGCGATTTTCGTATGACCTTGAAATGAAATCGTGCGAACAAAACAGAAACAACAAACGAAGGGAAATAGAGCGATTTGATTGGTTTGTCGAACGGATACAAACGCGCGTCGCTTTTGGTTGGTTAAGCGAAAGCTCGGCTGAAAAAAACTTCATGCCCGAAGAACTTTCTAGAAATCGCTTTGACGTCATACTGCGACACGATTGGCTAATCGAACAATGCCTTCTCCGTATTAGGGTTCTCTTTGGCGGGAAAACGAAGAGTCCATGTTTTGATCTTTTCATCGATTGGCTAATAAAACAAATAACGAACACTTACCGAAACCATTTTTCAAGGTCATACGAAAATCGCTCTATCCCTAGAATTTAGTTTAGTGGAAGAGAGCAACTCGCGTTTCATTTAAATGAAATTTAGCCAGTAAAAAAAGGTGATAAACGATCCTGTCGATGTCAGAATTTCAGTCTCAACATAGTTACAGCGTCAGGTCTGATAGGGGGGTCCGAACTTCCCCCTAGATCCTCCAGTGCCCTAGGATCAGTTTAATAGAGAAAAGTCGTCCTGGCAAAGAAGATCACCCGTCCAGCCGAATCAACTTAAGTGAGCGGATCCGACGACCGCAACAGCGACGAGAATGTGCAAAAAAGGAACAAAATTTATAATGAAAACAACACCTTTGCACGTGCATCCGTCTTTTAGTACATTTCTTTGCCGCCACTGCACGAATACGACGTAAGCATGCCTAGTAAAGAAAAAAAAAGACACGCCCATACACAGGCACAAGCATTTCTGTATCTCGTCAGTCTTCGGAAATCCTCGACCTTCTTGTCACAGATACTACCAATCACCAAAACCCGTACTAATCAACACCCTAATATCACTAAGAGAGTCAATTTATTCCTTTATTTTGCTTCCTATTTTGTACATAATTAATTCGGATCATTATACGTCTCTGGGACTGGGAAACTGCCCACCTACCCCTCCCCTGAGGTAACTTTAACACTCACTTTTCACTTAGGGAAAAATGTTGCCTTAGGGGAGGCCAGGGGTGGGTGGGGGGGTTCCCAAAAACTTATAATGTTACATTAATTCCCCATATTATTATTAACACGCTTTCTGCCTCCTTATCAAGTTGTAGCGAACTTTCCTTGCTCCAGCTCCCCGCAGGTCATATGAAAACTCAGTGGAAATGTAAGGAGCATTGCTTTGCTTTGTCTAAACAAAAAGAAAAAAAAGTAACATAATGAACGACTATTGGATGAGGCTGGGTATAACTTGTATGAGGCCGAAGGGGAATTATGCAAATCGAGGGGGTATATCTGCCTAAGCCGAAGGTTGAGTTGGAGAACACTCTAATTGGAACAAAGCCTGATTCAATAACCATCGACTACTCATGAAAATTACATTCAAATCCTGTCACATGTAATACGGACACTGAGGGGGGCCATGGGAAGTGTCCGTACTAAGCGGGTTGAATTTAGAGAGAATGTAAGGGCTTTCTTTCCCTAGGGACAAAGCAAACTGTCCGTAATAGCGAAGTATCTGCATAAAGCGGGTATCTGTAAAGCGGAGTTTGATTTTATCAAACCAAGTTCACAAACTCCTTACTTCTGCCTATAATATTCTCAAAGAAAACACCAGGTCTTCGCCAGTTTTAGGACGTTTACAGACGGATCGGTTTTTTTTTTTTTTTTTGTAAAATTTTTGAAAAACGTTGATATCCTCGATGATCAGCGGCTTTTTGCCTTGAACAATAATTAAAAATTATTGGGCGAGGTTTAGCAAATATCTTGATTTTTCAGAAACGAGCACATCAATTATTTGCCTTGGCCGAAGGCTGAGGAAAATAATTGATCTGCGAGACACTGACAAATCACGATATTTAGCGATAACCGAGATCAATAATTTTTTTATCTTTCGCAACTAATGAATATCTTCGGGAAGCGANTTTTGTTTGAAACAAGCAAAGTTCACAAAGTCTTTTTTTTTGCCTATAATATTCTCTCAGCAACCACCCGGTCTTCGCCAGTTTTAGGACGTTTACAGAGGGATCGGTTTTTTTTTTTTTTTTTGTAAAATCTTTGAAAAACGTTGATATCGTCGATGATCAGCGGCTTTTTGCATTGAACAATAATTAACAATTATTGGGCGAGGTTGAGCAAATATCTTGATTTGTCAGAAACGAGCACATCAATTATTTGCCTAGGCCGAAGGCTGAGGAAAATAATTGATCTGCGAGACACTGACAAATCACGATATTTAGCGATAACCGAGATCAATAATTTTTTTATCTTTCGCAACTAATGAATATCTTCGGGAAGCGAAGCGATCTGCCATTTTTCACGCAAGAGATATCGCAAGAAGGAGAAAAGCGTGGTTTCGTTTACGCATGAGCAGAATATTATTTACAGCCAAACACTTAACCAAACACAGTTAGACGACATTGCGCATGACCCGACCCTTGTTTACAGGTCACGTGTTGGGCTTTCGGCCAACGAAAAGGAAGAACAATTTGCATCGAATGATAATAAGAGTTATTTATTTATTTATTTATTTTTTCAGTCTGAGAACCCTAAAAAGGGAAATGTTGTAGCTGAAGCTACGCGGCAAATCATTCATAGTCATTCTCTTCTACTCACCGATAACAGTAAAGCTGCTGGAATTTCTAAGTTTCCTTTAAGTAAGGTGTTAACTTGTTTAAGATCGTTCAACCCGAGGGGTGTCAACACAAAGAGCAGTTTCTCAACGGGATCGATGTTCCGCACAATTCCTACGACGGAGAAACGGTTGATTATTACAGATAAAACAGAAATGAATGTTTTCCCCAAAGAGAGCCAATACACAGAATCCTGAACTGCCAAATTACTAAAAAAAAAATACAGTCGAGCACCTCCACGTGCGACCACCTCTCGCAAAGGTTACCTGTCATCTCGCCCCCTAGTCTTTTCACCCCGGTTACTTACCCTCCTATTCTAGAACGAGGAATATTATATTTGAAGAGTGCTTGTTTGGTTTATGGCTTAAAAAACGAGGAATATTACAGTTTGAAGCGCGCTTGTTTTGCTTTATGGCTTACAGAACGAGGAATATTACATATGAAGTGCGCTAAATGACTCGAAAATAGGTGACTAAGTAACCGGGGGCGAAATGACAAGTAACCCTCGCAAATATGTAGCCTGGGAACACAGACGTATTAGCAAATATGCGACCCGGCACCAATCCAAAACACCAAAATTTCCCCAGTCGCAACCCTTAACAGTTAAAACCTCTTGAAAACGAGAGCGGATATCGCAGATCACATATTCCTTCGTAAATGCACAGTAATTCACGGAAATACGTAATATGGAAACAGTCAAACTGTGACGAAGAGCAAACCCTCTCTCTAAAAAGTAAAATTCTAAACGAAGGGTAAGATTTAACTCCATAAAAATTTTCCTCAGGACTGTCCATGAGCCTTGATCTCGCAAACTCGACCCAGAGCTCTCATCCGCATGACCGCGGAGTCAGAAGCATAGGCGCTGTTATAAGTGCTGGGTTGAGAATAGTTAGGCTACCGCTGTCGAGCATGCGCAGCTCAGTGACGAACTTCTTTCGACAAAAAAAAACAAATAAATAAATAATTAAAAGCAAAATCAGAAGGTATACTGCGACAAAGAGGAATCTTATATAATCTGAAAAAGATAATTACCCAAACCGATGCATTCTGTAATGGGACTCCGCATAAAGCACCAAGGCGTACTGCAATCTCCTCGGCGATACATCTGAAAGAAAAAGGTAACTTATTTTCTCAACTCACGGCCTGTTTACTTGGAGGTGGGGGACCCAAGATAGGTCAGGTGACATGTGGCGTGTCACCCCACCTATCATGTAAACATTATATTATATGGACAGGCAGGTTACTCCACCCACCTACCTGCCTAAGGGCCTGTTTAGATGCAGGTGGGGGGCCCAAGGTAGGTGAGGTAACCCGCTTACGTGGAATAACCCGCCTGTCAATATAGATTCTCATTTTATTTGATCACGTTTACATGATAGGTGGGGTGACTATATGAGAAATTATATGGGCAGGCGGGTTACTTCACCTATCTGGGGTCCCCCACCACCATGTAAACAGGCCCTAAGCCTCAAGCCTCGTATAGATAAAGATGGGTAAAGTTTGAATTTAAGCCAAGTCGCTTGTCAAGTCGAAGATCATCACGGCATCGATAGCTTGAAAAGACTTGAATTTTTTTTTTACCTCCATGGACGAAGTTCTGGTCCATCTTAGGTAAAGCCCCGAGAATGCAAAAGTCGTCACATTTTTTGAAACACTTGTCAGACTTACTCAATCGCCCAAAAAGCGAGACTCGACATTGCAGAAGGAGAAAGAGAGCTCCGTCAAAGAGAAAAGTTAGATAAGTCACATGCAGCCCAAGTTCAGTATGGTAAGTATCAAAATACGTGTGGTACCATAATGCATAATCCTCAAAATGGCCGTGAACATATTACAAGGATTTGTACGGCATTTTCAAGAAGATAAATAAAGGGTCAGAGACTCCTATTCTTACCTCGTCTGAAGCGCATCGCGCCAGTCCTACAACACTCGCATTAACAGAGTACAGAATCTCATTCCACGAAATCTGCTCCAAGAAATAAAAACAACAATGAAATTTGACATTAACATTGTGTAAACCAAAACCTTGCTGTGGAGGTGGAAATTTCATTGAACAATGGGGTTATAAATTTTGCTTACTGAAATCTATTGAAATTTGATATAACTAACGATTAGCTCATTTTTTTTTCTGTGTGTTTCTTGAAATTAAGACGGTGATTGATGTTGATAGACCCGATAGTCAGTCGCTTTTTGAAGAATTTAACAAGAAAAATTGAACTTAAGAACGTTACTCGACCTTTCAATGTTTCGAACACCATTTTCAAGAGTGAGAAATGTTTAAGTTTCAAATTTGTTAAGAGTTGAAGTTTGAATAAATTAAACTGCATTTGTGCTTGCTTCATTATTATCAAACTTTCTTAATAGAAAAGCTTAGCGCGAATCGTGTCCGACTGAACGTTCAGTGATGGTTTGAGTTCTTGAATGCTTTGTCTACGAGATGCTTTTAGAGAGCTTTAGATTCGAGGACGAGAACTACTATGAGACGACTATGAGTAAAAGATTTAACCTAAAGTTTAGACAAACCAGGAAGCTTCATTGTACTTTCTTTTTTCAGTAGAACAGTTAGCACTGTTATCTATATTGAGGAGGTTAAGCCCTCTCTCGATCGCAAAATGATAAAACTTCTAACATTTGATAACTCATTTCCGCCATTACGACATTAGGGAGCTTTAGCATCGACGACAACAACTGCAGCGAAAACGTCAGTTTTAAAATGAATTCCCGTTTTTTCAATCTTTGTCCCGTTTATTCCAATTTGCTGAAAATGGAAAGTGTAGGCAAATTTCCCTGGAGTTGATTTCTTGAGGACCGCATTCAAGTTTAGAGAGGGAAAAAGAGATTCGTCGTCGCTTGTTTACGTTCTCCATAAAACCTGCAATTAGGCATTTTCACGTCGTAGTCGTGCAAGGACGGTAAAGAAATGAACAAAAAAGCGTGATGCACGTGCAGAGTTGTTGTTTTGCTCAACAAACCTATTGCTTTTTTGACGTCCTCTTTGCCGTCGCCGTCATCGTTGCTAAAGCTCCCTATTCTCGACTCGTAGTAGAATGACGACGGCTAGCAAGTTTTCCCGCCAAAACGTCGCTAGTTCAAGGGCGCGCACTACTTAGTAATATTAGGCTGATTTAGCAACAGAACGGGAACGTCAGTTGACGACGGCGGGCGCAGATCAAACAACTGGCTTGACCAATGGCAGAGCGGCAAATTGGGCACCAGAAGTCGTGTTTAGTTCTTTCCGCGTGCTTTCCCGTCGTCCACTNCGTGCAAGGACGGTAAAGAAATGAACAAAAAAGCGTGATGCACGTGCAGAGTTGTTGTTTTGCTCAACAAACCTATTGCTTTTTTGACGTCCTCTTTGCCGTCGCCGTCATCGTTGCTAAAGCTCCCTATTCTCGACTCGTAGTAGAATGACGACGGCTAGCAAGTTTTCCCGCCAAAACGTCGCTAGTTCAAGGGCGCGCACTACTTAGTAATATTAGGCTGATTTAGCAACAGAACGGGAACGTCAGTTGACGACGGCGGGCGCAGATCAAACAACTGGCTTGACCAATGGCAGAGCGGCAAATTGGGCACCAGAAGTCGTGTTTAGTTCTTTCCGCGTGCTTTCCCGTCGTCCACTGACGTTCCCGTCCTGTTGCTAAATCGACCTAATGAGGAAATCTCATCCTAGTAGTAGTACTCGTCTGAGAATCTAAAGCTCTCTACTTACACAAGACCTCAATCCATCACAAATTATGCACAAGGTTGTTAAAACATATTCGCTGTCAGGTTATACACTAAACAGTACCTCTGTATGCATAACGTGTATTCCCACACAGCTCCACGGTACTGAATAAGGTACGCAAGACAGAAGAGAAGTCTGTGCAAGAGAAGAGCGGCCTTCACAGTGGCTGATGTTAGCTTTTGTTCTGCTGAAATACGACAGCAATGCTAAAGTCCGGTGATCTGATGCTTTGAATTTAGAACTAGAAGAAAAGAAAGAAATAAAAGATATGAATATATTATTAGCCAGTTAATAGTACATATTTCAAACGTCGTTGATAAAGTTTGCGATCCTCTGGTTAGATGCACTTAAACCCTGCTTTCCGGAAACCTCATTATTACGGACAGTGCACTAATAAGCCGATTAACAAGACCAGGATGCGTCACGACAACAAAGGAGATAACCATCAACAAAAATAGGTAAAGATTGTTAAACAAATTCCCCTCATCCACCAAAGGTAAATATATGGAGAACAGTGTGGAGAATATGCATATTGATATAACGGTTTTTCAACGTTCTATGACCATGCATACTAGCTCTTTTGCATCTCTGTGTTCATGAAAGGTAACATGTTACTTACACGGAGCTCGGCCAGCTTTTTGATTCATATGAGTTGATTTCAATCACAATAGGATCCAGATCGCTTCCTGTGACGTTCTCGGGACAAAGGTTGACATCTCTGTATAAATTCAAACCGAACAATACGATTAGCATGTCCACACGAATGAGTTTTAGAAAACATTCGTTTTCGTGAAAGCCAAACGCATCAACAGCTTTGCGAACTTAGGGCGCTTTTTTCCACCAATAAATGTAAGACACAAAGCCATTGAAATTTGTTTTAACCACCTGGAGTTGTTTTCAGGTCGCTCTTCCTCCTCAACAGTAAATGCCCATCCCGGTGTACTTGCAAACAGTTCAGCTGTCATCTTTGGTAAATTCTTGTTAGCGTTTTCTTTGGTGGCGTAATTGAACTGTACAATGTGTGTTGGCTTTACAACGCGAATCACATCCAACAAAAGAGGTACTCCCATTCCTTGGATAAAAAAGGAAAGAGCTATTGGCGACCGAATTAAGCTAAACAGGTACCTAGCAGGAAATTGAGGGAGCGGGGGACAAAATCGGAGTAAAGTGTCATACGTTTTTTTTGACCGTGAATTGCTGAATTGATGAATTGATTGACGGGGTGACTGACTTAGTGACTGAATGACTAATTGGAAAGGATCTGCGTTTTGGTCCCGCATGCTGTTTTTTCCTGGCAACTATTACTGACATTGTCTTAACCTTGAGAAAAAATTTCTTGACTATTGCCCGATCATAACAACGCTGTTCAACTAGCACAACTCCCTAATTGCTCCAACCAAATCTTGTAAAAATTTTGGGTCTTTTTCCAAACAGACCTTCAATATCTTAAAAGAGCGAAGTAAATTGTAGTAATGTAATAGTTCTAAATACACTTTTTTAACCACAGTTAAGTAGTTAGTTAGTTAATTAGTTAGTTTTTTTACCACGCACATTTTCTGCTCCTGGTCCCGGTTGTTCAAACGTTGGATAGCGCTATCGATCGGATAAATCACTATCCAGCGGATAAGTATTGGGGAGACTAATTGCACTATCCACTTGATAGAGATTTACCCGGTGGATAGCGCTATCCAGCCTTTGAACAACCGAGGCCAGATATATTAATGTATTTTTTTTCTAGCTGAATATACACTATATAATTTATATTTTATTAGCAGATGTAGAGCCCCTTTTTTATGGAAATGCTGTTAATAAACCATAATAATAAATATTATCATTATTACTTAAAGTGAAAATCGTTTGACTTCGTAACGTAACGACAACGCACTCTGCTGTTTGAACTACTTACCCTTAACCCATCCCTGTGTGTTGATAATCAATGGAATCTTGTTTCTGTATTTATCAGCGTATGTCTGATACACATTGTAAATACACTGAATATAGAACCCAGGCCTATCCTTTGGGGATACATCACCAAAAAATACAGATCTACAAAAGACAACAATTATCACGAGTGTTTTCAGTGGTATGAAAAAAAAAACGTTCGCAACTACAGAGGTACAAAATTCTAAGCTAACACATGACTTTGGCAAAAGCTTCGAAAACCTCGAATTTATAGCTTATCAGGAATAAAAAATTTCAAGTTACTTATAAGGAGATTGTTATTACCTCTCAGGTTGTCGAAGATGAGTGAATGGCGGACCTAAAATTCAAACGAACACAAAACACAAACAAGTTGTCATAATATGTACTGTATACGGCACTTGCAAATCCCCCAAAATTTTGCATAAGCATTGGGACGGATGTAATACCCAGGAGAAATGAAAAACAATGGTTGTGCAAAATTTTGGGGGGCAAATAAGGTGCATTGTGGGAGATGTACAAGTGGCGTGTTGAAGAAAAAATGGAAGAGAAACAAAGTAAGGAGGAAAGAACGTTTTGTCATAGCTACAAGTTAGCACTTGCAAGCCTTTTTACTGCATGTACAAACCTAGCAGGGGAGAAGACACTCTGTTTAGTGATATTAACCCAGGAGGAGTGAATTCAGACTGGCCAACGTCGCACTCGAGGAAATACGGCTCGTTCTGTCTAAAAAGAAAAAAATAAGTCCCAAACATAATCAACATAGCACGAGTAATAACCCTTTAAGTTACTAGCATTTTGATTTAACATCAATATGTTCTTTACAACATCAACGCTAAGTCAATTTGAGAGGGTCAGTTTGAGATTGAAGTATTAATTATTTTCACTGGTTAATTCGTGTAAACTAAAACAAGCGAAACATCATCGTTAATTCTTTACCATCAGCTGAACAATGCGAATATTTCGGCGTCCCTCCCCTTACGAATAAAACAAGATTTTTTTAATTTAGTTTAGAATTGTCTCTTCAGCCGGTCCCGTTAATGCGGTCACCAATGGGCCAAAAACATTCGGCTGTATTAACAGGTGACAGTATTAACGTTTTTTTTTTTTTTAACAAGAAAATGTATGGCCGCGCGTTTTGCCGGGCAGTCAAAAAAGTGGCCGTAAGGTGGGGTTTTACTGTAATGAATTATTTCATATATACTTCACTGTATTTACAATGGTTAGCTTTCACTTCCTCTCTTCCTATTACTTCTTTTTCGGTTTTGCAATTTTTTCGCATGGCTCGCTGCTTCCCTGGCATGTTCTAACTCAATTAGAAGTGGTGAAAAGATAGCTAATGATGTCGACTCACTTGACACGTTATGACTGTTAGCCCCTTTATCATTGGAGACTAATCGGTATCATGGAATATTCATGGACAAAAAATCATAGCAGTGGCAATGTTAAAGAAAAACATCAGGGGGATTCACCAGACAATCACTCTTACAGAACCAGTTCAGAGGCACTTACATATTTCCTACAGTGAAACCTCTCCTTTGGGGGACCTCTATTCAAAGGACACCTCCATTCCTGGGACACAAAATTTGGTTCCGAAAAAAAGTTCACATATTCTTTGTATTTGTTAGCTCTGTTGAAGGGACTCCTCTATTCAGGGGAAAGGGACATTTTTTCTGGATCCCAAAAACCAAGATTTAACCTCCATTCAGAGGACACCTTAGCACTCAAAAAGTGACTGACCACAAAAATCGTTGATAAACACCCGCCCAACCACCAGTCGGGGGACACTTGCCTTAGTCCAGAGGGTGTCCCCTGAATAGAGGTTCCACTGTAGTTTAAACTGGACAAAAAGATACCCTGGACAATTAGATACCAAATGTACAACTGTATTTTAGCACAATAGTGCCACTCAATTACGTAAAACATTAAAAATATATATTGTAGGCAAAACATACCTATTTAGGAATGTGTTAGTTAAATATCTTGCAAATGTTGATTTTCCAATGTCCTTTCCACCACAAATAAGAATAACAGGGGCCTTGGCTGTTAAACATAAAACAAAAACTGACAATGACTAACTGTGGTTTCCTGTGATAAAACTTGCTTCAATGATCAAATGAATGTTAATACCTTCCATGCCCATTTTTGTTTGACACACTGAAGATGCAGCAACTTTCCACTGATCGGGTACTGTCAACATCCTACATCGTGCTGGGTACCATGGCTCCAACTAGAGAACACAAATAGATGAAAGGGGCTACATCGTGCTATCCGCTGTCTTCTTTGAAAAGCCAAAATGTGTCAATGTGTAAATTGAATTCCAAAAAAATATATCATTGTCGTTATTGTTGTTGTTGTCATTATTACTATTATGTATTTACTTATAATGACAAAAATAATAAATATTCCCTTCAGTTAACCCCCCCCCTCCCCCTCCAAATTATTCTTTATGTGTTTAGAGACTCCCAATTTTATTACTCAAATAAAAATTATTGTAATTACAGCTTGTAACATTTTAATCTCTCACATCAAATTACCTCTAACGAGGGTGGCAGGGCTGTGCTGTTACAGAGCCTGGTGGCCCCTGGTGCCCACCTTTTCCTCTCAGAGGACCAGAAAATCCTAGTTTTTTTTCATACAAATCCTATGCTGGGTACAGTAGATTGTACAGGTTCAGAAACTTGGCTGGGTTCGAAATAAAAGTTTCTCTGAACCACACAATCAAAGGATGGTAACCCTGCAAACTGGAACAAAAGAGTTTGAGAAAATTGGAAAATTGGTTGTCAGTATCCTTACAAAAATAAATCCTAATGGAGCTGTTTTCTTCTTCAAAGACATCTCTATTTTGTCAAGAGAGGAAACCTGCAAGAAAAAAGATAGAACAATTTAGCACATAGCTAAAAATGGTAGGTTTTGAATGGATTGGTCAGTTGTAACATTAAACATGTCTCCAGTAATAAATGTTATGAGATGAACCATCAGGTAGTGGCACCCAAAAAGAAAAAAGTGGCAACCCATATTAGTAGCATCAGGAGCCTACAGGTGTTGCGAAACACTGCCCTCACCACCCTCCTCTCCCCTGAGGGAAGGTTACCCCCCAAGAAATCTGCCATACACCTGTAAGGGAACAACATGGTGGCCAGGTTCTAATCCAGACCTATAGGTTTAAAGTTTGATAAAGTTTGATATATGGACTACAATGTCTAGTCATGTACCCGGTATTATTTTTATATTAGACTTTTTTTGGCATTCTCTGAGTGCTTTCAATTAAGTCAAAATTTTCAGAAATTTTGGTTGAGAAATAAGTGGAAAGCTTTGGTCTGGGTGGAAATTTTCTGGTCAAAGTGGTTCACCTCCAGAGGTGGTCCTCTTTGACCAGTCAGTCTGGTCCAACAAAAAACTTGCTGTTCCATTTCCAAAAAATTGTGTTTACAATTCTACTTTGCTAAGCAGTAATCAAAGTTTTGGTCCGAACAGAAATGGATCACTTTGATTTCAATCGAGCAATGTCATTCCATTTTCTCTTGATAATTCCACTGGTTTCTAACTGACTGGTCTGGCAATGAACCAACAAATACCTTGCCAAGATTCAAGCTGAATATATCATGGAAGCGTTGAATACTGCATACAAAGTTTGTCTCTATGGTTTGCAAGGATTTCATCAACAGAACTGTGGCTGATTTTCTTGATCTCACCAGGGCCTTCTTCATCACCTCAGGAGGCTGGTTTTGTAGAACATCTTGAAATATTCTCTTTAAATTAATACCTCTTAAGGAATTTTCTTCACTGTGTTCAGACAACACAGCAAGACTTAAAGTACTGGGACAGAAGATTTCCACTGGGTCATGATCAGGTCCCAAAACAGAACCATACACTTCAACTGACCCGATCAGGGTTTTGATCAGAGCCAACCCTTTGATGCAAACTCTCTGGTTTAAAACAAAAACAAATGGAGCAAAATAATTTCAAAACAAGAAAATAAGGATTCTTTAAATAACAGTAATGTGCATCCATCAAATCTACCGCCTGTACGGGGGAAGAGTCACAATAATTATTACTCGAATCAAGAGGACATTAAATGGATATAAAAAAAGCTTTAAGAGACATAAAGACCAGCATTTACATTGTCTGTACTTTTTTAAACAGTTGGATGCTGTTTCCACAAGCGTAAAAATTTGTCTCTCATGCAGTTATATTTTTCTGTCTCGTCACACAAAGTCTCTTCCCCTATGAAGAAGGAGAAGCACAAGAATGGGTGCACAGTATACAGTCATGTACTACAAAATTGAGAACAGGATTCCAACAGCTTTCTTTCCAAGAATAAAATGGCTGCCCCAAAAGCTCAAAAGCTACAAGTAATGATGCTTTAAACAACAGATCATGGGGTTGGTGAAAGTAGAAACTGATATACCAGTAGACTCACCAACTTTGCCAGTAAAACTTATGACTTGAAATATATTACGAAGAAATATTTTTTTGTTGTAATTTGAGAATTTTTTTCAAGCAGATTCATAGGGCATAAAACAGTACGCTATCTGGTAAAGGACAATTCAACACTATCTCAGCCCTCAATTTACAGTTTAACAACAAAGCTTTTACTCCCTCTGCCAGTGACTCTAGGTTTTAAATTATTTCTTTGTTTTCTTGTTTGTCTACTTATTCAATTTATTTTTTGGTTGAAACATACCTGACCTCTGGCTAGAAAAAACAGACAAGCATTCCTCAAAGAACCAGACAAAGGTAATACACTGAAAGAATCAAAATCTAAAATTAGCAAACCTTTTTTTCTCACTGACATGAAATAGAATGTCAAGAAGAAGTTTGCTCACAAGTTAAAAACTGCTAAATATAAGCTAAAATTTAGCATGCGTAAGATGCAGATAAGTCTTTGATTCCCAGCCCTAATTTGTAACTATTAATTTAGTCAAGTTTCTAACCATTATAAAACCAAAGAGATGCTAAGAGTTTTTTCACTACATACCATAAATATATACAATTAATAGTAGAATGATTGATAGAATACAACATGTATGCTACTATGCATTTTTGTACATGCAACAACATGCAACAATTATTGGTAAGCATAACTACTACAAACATAATGGTAACAGCTGTATCACATGCCAGACTGTATAATTTATACACAGATGCTTATTCAATTAGCAGATCAAGAGCAGAGAAATCCTTTGCTCTTGGTGACTTCTGGAAATTACCAGGATGGTGAATGACTTATTTCAAGGTTCTCTTAATTTTTCAAGATGTCAGTCATGTAAAATTTCTCACCCTGGGACAAAAAGTGTCAAAATCTCTACCCAGAAAAAAGCCTGCTCAGTCAATCAAGGGTGAACCCTCCTTCCCTATCCTGAAGGTTTATGCTCTTCAGTTCAGCTGGCCCCAGGGTAAGACCCAGGCCAACCAGGGAAATATGTCAGGAAATGCAACAATAATTGGCTACTCTACTGCTATAGACTGTTCACAGTCCCCTATTTTCCTGTACGATCGTCAAGATCATTGACGCTCGCCCCCTAGATACATTTGAAAATCAAGATGGCCACCATTAATGGTAAGACATGCTATATCTTGACGATCTCAAAGAAAAATAGGGGACTGTGAAGAGTCTACTACTTCTAGGGAGTGGAAATTCAAAGTATAGTTTCCAGTTCAGAGGAAGACGGGGGTGGAAATCAAAATTTTGCAAAATCATAGAGGGTAACCATCAAGATGTCAGGGAGATTTCTAAACCTCCTTTATTGCATACTATGTATTCTTAGCTCCTGCCCCTTTTATCCTTGGCTTCCACTCATTTACGCCGTTATTGATTACAAAATTTTATGCATTGCTGCATAATTATTGTCCATACTTATCCACCTTCCCACCCTGTTCAAACTCCCACCTCCCACCTTCTCCTCTCCCACCTCCCATAACCCTACTGCCCTCTATTCTTGCGGGCTACCAGCCCCATGTTTTCACCCACAGGTTATGCCAACTTCAGTTAACTGACCTCTTAACATTCAAACTTGCAGGCATAACTCTGCTCTCCTCCGAACTTTTCTTTGGATCTTTCTTCTTCCTTCGCGATCTTCTACAAGTTGCTTTCTTAGTTGTTGCATTACCACCTCTTTCTGCTTTCTTAGCAGCTGTCCTTTTAACATTCAATCTCGTAGATATCAATGCACTCTTCCCAGCATCACCACCCTTCTTTACCCCGTCTTTCTGCCTTTTCGATCTCCTACAAGTTGGTTTCCTAGCTGTGCCATTGCTGTCTTTTACAGCCTTTTTGTTTATCGCACTTTCTTCGTCTTCCGAAGACGAAGATATTACTATGCACTCTTTAGCCTTCTCCTTTTTCCCTTTTTTCTCCCTTTTCGATGGACGACAAGTTCCTTTCAACCGCACTATCTTCGGTTTTCCTGGATCTCTTTCCGCGAGTTTCTTGTTGGTGTCCAGTGGAATTTGCCGTTGCAAATTTCCTTTTCCTGCCGACTGGCATTTTTCAACCAAAATGTTTAGTCTTTTTTTTTATCAAAAAGAAAAATCAATACAAAAAAGCCAAAAAGCGCGACGATGTTCTGGTCTCGCCGCCATATTGGAATCAACGATCTCGTCCCATTCCTTCTCTTTCATATGGGGTTAAGACGTTATATAAGCGCACTTAAGCGTCCCAATAGATTCCGCCCAAAACCTGTTTTATTTTTTTTATTTTTAATCATTTATTGTAACATTTCTTTCTTTCTTTCTTTTTTTTAACATTTTAAGTATGTCTGTAGTTATTTATTAACTTATCTATTTAGAGTCATGGGCTCTAGGGCCGGGTTGTTCAAAGCTGGCTTAAGATAACACAAGGTACAAATTGGCCGTCAGATCTAAATTTAAAAAGAACAAAAAAAAATTCTGAGAAGATGCGGTTTCAACTAAATAAAGAAAAAGAAACCCGGATTATAATTTAACTTCGGGAAAGCGCTAATCAGCCTTCGAAAAACTGGGCTCTGACCTATCTAGGTAATTTACATTACCTCAAATATTTATATTTCTTCTTTCAATTAAATTATTTCAGGAGCTCACAACCCGAAGCGAGCGCTTGGAACGGCGTTTTCACAGACCAGTTTATTTTTAGAACGATTTTGGTGCAAATTGTGAATATCTTTTTAAATTCCACAAACCATTCAGAAATTTCCTACAGAACTAAAAATGATATTTTTTAACTTTTAGTTTTCCTTTTATATCTTATACTTCGATTGCGAGACATGGACATGGTGGATAGTCTACTTTTGCGGGAAAAAAGTGCCCTAAAATGTGTCTTTTGTGGGGGTGTGTTCGAGCAACTCGCTCGCTACACGACGAGGTACCAGGAATTTGATCTACATCTTGGACTTTATTCTTCTCATTCTTCTTACAACTTCTGCTTACTCTACTTCTACTCTACTTCTCCTAGCGGTTTTAATAGCCAAAGCTGGACATGTTTGGGTTAGCTGACCGGAAGAGTCTCTATTGTATACCTTATCGCTAACATTGCAACAGGTTTGCTATTGTTCGGGAATAGATTAGCCTACGTTTAGCCACAACTGATAAGTACCAAAGAACGAAGGTCAGCTCTAACACCACAAACACGACCACCTGTAAAAACCTAACATCTGACAATGCCAAGCGAATAACATTCCTAATAATGGCAACAAGTAAATTCGCGAGCTAAGCATAACTTCAAGAACAAGTAAAAACAAAAGATCAAAACAGGAAAACAGTACGTGGGCAAAAACAAGACTTAATCAAACAAAAACTAAACTTAAAAGATAAGATAGATCTGTCTAAAAAATAACTTTCAAAATACTTCACAACACTATAATAAACGGGTCCGTAAAACGCCGTGACATACGCTTAGTATGAGAGTTTTTCGCTTCAGTTTATGGGCTCCTGATTATTTCTATTTCTTTCGTTCTTTTTTGCTTGTTTGTTTGTCTGTGTGTTCACTTTAACTTTTGTAGCTTTGGTACTGAACTTTACGTATTAACTCTAGACTATTCCTGTTGACCTGCGAAAAAATAGCCGGAATTGTCTGATTTTGCAGAGGTACTCCTCCCACCTCCCCACAGCATTTGAGGCTGCGTAGTTGTCTTCCGAGTTCCGATTCCAGTAGACTACGAGTAGTCCCCATTTTTCCTCAGGGATAGTTGAGCGAGCGAAACGCAAAAATGGGGACTACTCGTAGTCTACAATTCCAGATAATTTAAAGCTGACTAGCCCCAGAATGAGCCACTTCTAGTCAGAGCTACTTTTCCGTCTATTGCCTTTTGAGAAGACGCTTCTTTAGTGGAAAGAACGAAACCATGGGAGGAAGTTGAGAAGATGACCGGCGTAACGAGTCAGTTACTTTATGGAGCTTGCTCTCTGGGGAGCTTTGTTCCGGCCAGCACGAAAATCGTTACACTTGCGGGAGAAATAGCCTGCGAAAACAGCCGTTTCTCCTCGCTCTTCGCCACTGAGGACGTTTCGCGAGGAAACGTCCCCACCTGCGAAGAGCCAGGAGAAACGGCTGTTTTCGCGGGCTAAGCGAGGAATGGATAATCAGGATTGTCTAAATTATTTGACCGGCTAAAAGAACTAACTTGACAAAATAAATGTGTTTGCTTGTTATTACTATTCGCGTCTTACACGTAGTACATGTAGCGTTGCGTGAAGACACACACAGAAAAAAACAGCTGGTGAGAAGGCTATTCAGTACCAAGCGAGTACACCGCGAAAATGTAGCCTCTGTTCGCGTGGTATCTATTCAGGTTTTTTTTTCCGAGATTTTCCCCCAAGCACCCCTGCTTCTTTTTTAGGCTTGTACCCTGTCTGTTTCCAAAACGCTGGTAATAGTGTACTTTTTAAAATAATTTCATTTTCCCTAATTAATATAATTGCAATGGAATGATGCATCGATTAATTATTAATGCAATGATTGATACAGTGACGTTGTCAATACTCACACTGATATAAAAATACTCCCAGCTTTAACAACATAATTATAGAAGAGGTGTCATCCATAATGTGTAGTATTCAAAATCAAGATTAAAAAAGATAAGATAAAAACAATATGCAGCTAACAATAACGTCAATAGGTGTGCCGATCATTGAAATCAATTCTCATTTTTACGTCTCTAATCATCTCTAAAAAATATCTTTGTCGTCAAAAATTAATGAAAAATATTTAAACTTGTACATGTTGTCTGCTTGATGGCAGACTAGTAATTATGAAAGTATAACCACCAAACAACCTTTTTATATATTTGTTTTTTCTAGTGTTCCAAAACGCAGCAACGCATTTGTGCCTTTTTTCTGTCCATTGATGTCACAAACAAAACTTGTACAAGCATTAAAATAAAAAAAAATAAAAAATAAATTTTAAAAAATGAAAATCTCAGGAGTTTATGACACTTTGACTAGCACAAAAGATAAAGAGTAAGAGAATTTTTAAAATTTAAGACAATTTTCTAATAAAATGAATTAATGATTTCTTGGTTTGATCAATCTGATTAATTCTTTTGACTTACTATTAATCTCAGCCCACCCCTGGCATCACATTTACATGAAATGCAGCTTATTCATCTTTTTTTCCTTGGTTCATGTGATTATCATAATGGTTTAGGAGAAGATTCTGGCTTTTAAATTCCTCCTGACAAACCCAGCAACTGAAGGTTTCGGAAATTTGTTTTTTGTTGGATGATTCCTTTTTTGGTCTAAATATACAGTGGTTTTTGTTATGTATTGTCAAACTCCCTTTAGCATTAAAACAACTGCCACATTTTTCACATTGAAATGGCTTCTCTCCTGAGTGTGATCTTTCATGTTTCCACAGGGTTCCACGTTGATTAAAACATTTGCCACAGTGCTTGCACGCAAAAGGTTTCTCTCCAGTGTGAATTCTTTCATGGTTTCGCAACTGACCTGTTTGAATAAACCGCTTGCCACATTTCTTGCACTGATGAGGTTTAACTCCAGTGTGGATATATTCATGTTTGCGCAAGTCTCCTCTATCATTAAAACACTTGCCACAGTGTTGGCATGCATAAGGCTTCTCCCCCGTGTGAGTCCTTTCATGCTGACGCAAACGTCCAGATGTCGTACAATACACACCACAATGTTTACATTTATAAGGTGTCTTGTCAGCATGGGTTCTTTCATGTGACCGCAAACCACTTGAATCCTTGAAACACTTGTCACATTGTTTGCATTGGTACGGTTTTTCGCCAGTATGGATTCTTTCATGTTGTTTCAAACTGCCACTCTGTGTAAAACACTGGCCACACTGTTTACATTCAAAAGGCTTCACTTCCTTGTGGATCCGCTCATGGCATCGTAAGTTGCTGGTAGTGAGGAAACTCTTACCACAGTATTCGCACTTGCAAGGTTTTTCTCCAGTGTGTGTCCTTTTGTGCACATTCAGTGTACCTGACTGCTTAAAACATAGGCCACACTCTTTACACTTGTAAGGTCTTTCCCCTGTGTGGACTCTAGTATGTGTTATTAACCCTGACTGAGAAGTAAAGCACTTGCCACATTCCTTGCATTCAAAAGGCTTTTCACCAGTGTGAGATCTTTTGTGCAACTTCAAACTTTCAGCGCACTTAAAAGACTTGCCACATTGCTTGCATTCAAAAGGCCTTTCTTCACTGTGAGCGGTTTTGTGAAGCTGCAAATGACCAGACTGTGCAAAACATTTACCACAGTGTTCACATTCATAAGGTTTCTCTGTCATGTGGACTCTCTCATGCTGTCTTAAACCAGCACTGTCCTTAAAACATTTACTGCAGTGTTTGCATTCATAAGGCCTTTCTCCAGAATGGATTCGTTCATGGATCCGTAAAGAGTTTTTCAAACTAAACTGCTTGCTGCATTGTTGACATTTAAACAATTTTTCTTCTGCTTGGCTCCTCTCCATAACCTAATCCTGCAATCAAAGATTTCCTTTTTATTATTACATTGTTTTCAACCACTTCTGAAAAAGTAATATAGGTGGAAATGTCTAATATACCTTTTTCTTCAAAACCAAACACCAATGCAAGACTGAATCCAAAATAATCCTGTGCATCAAACATCAAGGCGTAGCCTGACATTTTTAAAGTTGTACGCAAGGGATCAAGAAAACTTAGAAAGCCAAAGGCATTCCAAACAGAATTTATTGCAAAATCTTTCCAGTAAATAAATATGAAGAAAATGCTGTAAGAGAGCAGGTAAGGGTATCTTTATATTTTTTCACCCCGCTGTCCGTTTATGGAATAATATAATAGGATAAAGGAAATTCTAACACAGAGACACCAACATAAAGTGAAATGAGATTTTAGCTGCATGATCGGGTGTATGTGCATATATGGATGCTATGCTCCTGCTTAGGATCCATGTGATGTCACTTATCCCAGTTACAAATTGATAATTTCAACACTTGATAAAATCTATCGTAATCAAGATTTTTTGAAACTAATTTATCAATTAATATTAAAAATTGTTAGAAATCG